TATATATTTTTGTGCTATTTTTACCTTTTTGTCCGTAGAAATTGGTGTTGTGATTTACACTTCTTACTTAAAATTTTTATTAAAATATATGTTCACTCTCGTTACGTTAGAATCCTACGCCTGTTCCCATTTATACACAAATAATAAACTAACATTTTTGTACATTTTGTTTTTCCTTCAACACGCTATAGTTGTGGTGTTGCTAAGTTAAGAGAAGTTATTTGGCGGTTTAGGAGCATTGTTCCACGCCACTCACCTTTGGACAAGTGTCTTGTTGTCTCTCCAAAGACGACAAAATGGTAGTGTAATCCATTATTTTAGCAAATAATATACATGTTGTGGTGCTACCTAGATTTTTCCTAGGAACAAATTATAATTTATCCAAATCAGTACTAACTGTGACATCCCCAGACAGACATAGAGCCAGAGACATATCAAAAAGTGATTTGAAAATTCTATTTTGAAAAAAGATCTTTGTTTGGTTTTTAAAAAAATGTATTATTGCAAATTCAAGTTTTCCTCCAATTTAATGAGAGAGACAATTAAAAAAAAATGGTCACATCAAAAAATACTCCCATGTTAGTTTTCAAAAAACTTTGTCCAATTTTCAAAATAACCAAACAAAAACTCCAAAATTTTCAAAAAAATGAGTTTAGAAAACAGAACCAAACACAATATTGTATTTTTCTTTTAATTTTTTATTATTTTATTTTCTATATATATATATATATATATTTAAGTGAATTTCCATCAAATAGATGCTCTAATAGGAAGAAATAAATCAAGTTACAATCTGAGATTTCACATCATAAAAAGTATTACACAACTGTTAAGTTACGATCTAAAATTTCACATCATAAAAAGTATTACACAACTGCTAGGTCAAATGATGTTAGACAACCATCCACTCTTTCTTTAAAATAACAAATATATTTTTATCACTTTCTATCACACGGTGTACCAAATGTCTATGTGCAAATAGTATGGGGTTACAAATATATTTGGGTTAACACTTGATGTTGTTGGTGTATCTACTATCAGAAAATAAATATGGGGCAAAAAATATATATTGGGACATTTATCACATTGAGAAGATACCAGAATTTAACATCGTTCGGCTAACTCATCTTACGTCCATGGATATTTTCACTTTGTCTCTATATTAAAATATGTGATTATACATCATCCATTATTACTAAAATAATAGTAATTACACAAAATAAAATATAAAAAAAAAAATTATGAAGTGGACTATGACACAGTAAGCTCGCTATGACATTTAAGCCTCTGCGATTAGTAAATGCTTCAAAACCTTCAAATGCAATAGATTATCTTTGACTTATTTTAATATAACTGCCCCGACTATACGTTGTGTTGAATCACCGCACAAAAGGTTAAATTTAAGACTCCACCCTTAGGTCATGTTTATTTGGCGAATTAGGCTAAATGAGATTGTTAGTGAAAAGATGATTAGCGAAGAGATTGTTAATGTGGGGATTGTTAGTGAGAAAATTAAGTAAAAGTATATTTATTTTGATGATAGTGTGAGAGATTGTTAGTGCACTATAATAAATAAGACTTTTGGCGACCAATTATTTTGGTCCCTAAAACCATTATTTTGGTCTCTAAATGTTTTTTGTGACAAAAATAAATTCATCACCAAAAACGTCACTAAAAGTGCATCCAGAAGACTAATTTTCAAAAACATCGGAAAAAATGCCAGTTGGTGACCAATTTTATACTGTCACAAAATGTTTGATTTTGCAAAACTAAACATTTCGTCTCTAATACTTTGTCACAAAATGTGCCACTTTGGTTGCAAAATACAAAATAGTGACATTTTTAACAACAATTATTTTTTGTCACTAAAGGATAAATGACTCTCTACCATATATTTTCGTCACTAAAAGTCAGTTTAAAAAATATTTTATAACCATTTAATTTCATATTCCTCAAAAAAAAAAATAATTTCATAGCTAAAAATTCACAAAAATTAAATTTATCATCCAACCATAAAAATAAAAAATAAAATAAAAATTGACATTCACACATCAAAGCATTCTATTCCCAAACCATAATGAATATATAGAAAGTAAAATTTTACAAAAATTAAAACAAACTAAATTACACCTTTATAAATGGATATATATCTTTTATCCACTGATTCAATCCTGTAAAGCAAAAGTAAAATAATAATATCAATTAAATCGTTGCGATAAAGGTCAGAGAACAAGGAGCAAAAATTGATACCAAAAAGGCTGCTAGCCTCCGTTTGGCAAGAGCTAAACGAGGCTTTTTTAGCTATTTTAGCCACAAACGACAAAATAGGCAATTTTAGCCACAAAAAATAAAATATCACATCCAACCCATAATCATTACGTTCTTCTCTCACAAAAAAAGTCAAAAAAGTCAAAAAGTCAAAAACCAAAAAGCTCTTCCCAAACCAAACTTTTTAGCCTAGGCTAAAATAGCCAAAAAACCAAAAAGCCAAAAAACCAACCCACTTCCCAAACGGATGCTAAATAATTTATTCAACCGATAATAAGTGAAATTTATAAGGATAACAATCAAGAATATAGAGGCATCCCTTGGAAGATTTGGTTTGATGTTCTTTTGTGGCAAATCTGGAAAGATAGAAATAAAAGGGTTTTTGAAAACTTGGTTGTGAATGTTGGGTGTCCTAAATAAGTGTACTTTTTGTCTTTTTGAACTAAAAAATTGAGGAAGAAAATATAGATGTTTGGGTTAACTTTTTGACTTTTTATGAAAAAATGTGTAATAAAAAATTGTAAAAATTGGTTTGTAAGAGAAAATTAGAATTGGGAGTTGTGCAGCCGTAATTGTTGACTTTTGATGAATAGTGTTAACTTTTTAACTTTTTGAATAACTTTTTAACTTTTTGGCTTATTCTGGACTTGCCAAACTTGGCCTTAATCATAGCATCTTTCAAGCTTACCAATATGCCTCTAATATTCATGAAGCTTTCAAGTCTCCTATTGCCAAAGATCAGTTTGTTCTTAATTTAATAGCCTAGTTGCGTCCTTGTGCAGGTAAATTTAAACTCAATACGGATGGTTGTCCTAAAGATGAACCAGATAAAGTAGGCTTTGGTGGTTTGTTTAGAGATGAAAGAGGACTGTGAGTTCTAGGCTACACTAGAAAGCTGGAAGCTGCTACCAGTCTAGAGGCAGAATTATAGGTAATCTATCCAGGCCTCACCATTATTTTGGAGAAAGGATGGAGAGATATCCAAATAGAGACAGATTGTAAAGTGGCTGTGAACCAAATTTCCACATAGATGAGCAACTTCGGAGCTACCCATTCAGAGCTATCTTTTTCGACATCAAGGCACTACTCCAACGCACTGAGTGCATCATTGCGCATATCTGTCGTAAAGGGAAGAAATGTGCTGATGAACTTGCTCGTTTAGGAGTTGATCAAGCTGAGGACTTGGAGGTGCATGAGATCCTCCACAAATACTTAGGCCTTTTCTGGTGGCCGATATGGTTGGTATTGTGCACGAGAGGGTTTAGACTTCTCTTGAACTATTTGCTATTTTGAACTCTTTGTATTTTCCTTCCGAAGCATCTAAATAAAATAAAATAAAATAAACATATGGAAAAACCACAAAGGCATCAAAATTCTTTTTCATTAACAACAAAATTTAACTTCAACAGAGTCCTGCTTGTCTCAATTGTTGAAGTTATCATTGAATGTGAAATGACTGAAATAGTGAGTTTTTTTTTGTTTAACGAGTCCTGACCCAACATTGAGTATATGTACTAGATGACTTAAATCATTTGCACAGCCTGGATATAGTTAACACTCAGCAATGCATTAAAACCATTATATGTGCGTGTGTGTGTGTGTGTTTGTATGAAAAAAATGACATGAAGAGTTCAAAAAAGATGTCGTAGCTACTGAGTAAAGTTAAATATGAAATTCAAAAAAAAAAAATTAAATAAATAAATTATGGAAACTATATATCAATAAATTTATTTACCTTCGCTACAACATTAAGAAAAGTTGCATCTTGAAGATTACCTATTTCAACCTGTTAAGAAATTACTACAACTTAAACAAAGTACAATAGATGGTGCATATAAAAATACATAGAAGTGTGTGTATATATATAAGCATATCAGTAATGCTAGTCTTCAGGAAAATGCTTCAGAAAAACCTTCAGGAAAAGGTGGGTCCCACCTGGCAAGGAAATTGTTAGTTTAAGAAATAAAAAAAAGTTCTGAGTCTCATGTTTCAACTTTTTCACGTTTCAACTCTCTCACCACTCTAGCTCACGTTTCAACTCTCTCACCACTCTCTCGCTCAGCTCTCACTAGCAAGCTTGCTGCCACCGGTCACTACCGCCGGCGTCTCCGTAACTGCTAAGATTTCCGTTTGATTTCTCCGTCACTCTCAGATTTTTGCTGCGATTTCAGTCTCTAATCCCACCATTCTTGCAAGAACACCGAAGCTAAGATTTGCAACCAAAATCTGAGTGTTTGTAGTTGTTTTACCAAGCTTGATTTTGTATCCTACCTTCTTTGTGCGATTTTGGGATTATTTTTTTCAAACCCTAGAATTTTGAATTTTGGGGCTTTTGAAAATTTTTGTTGTCTCTGAATCTTTCAATAAAAGAGATGTTGTGGATTGCATAGGTTATATAACTCAATTTTTGTTTTAATTTCTGTTATCTCTAAATTTGAATCTTTCAATGAGATTTTGTGGATTTACTTTGTTTCATGTATGAAAGCCTAGAAATTGCATAGGTTAAATTTTGGGGGTTTTTGTTCAATTTTGAAAATTTTTGATGCCTTATACCACCAATGTATATATTTCAAGGCACAAATTATTATTTTTAAATAGTCTCAATTTAGTTATTGGTTGTTTATTTATTTTTGTTTAAGAACTAAATTAATTCCTGTTTATTTATTGCCTTTTTATTTATTTTTGTTGAAGAACTTTTTAATTTGTTATATATACATATATATTGTAGAGATATGGATGAAGAAATATGGAGTGGTTCTTCAAGTGAGGGCATTAATGAGATTAATATTGAGAATGAAATGGAGGAAACAGAAAATGTAGAAGTCGAACCTGAAAATGTAGAAGTTGAAACTGAGGATCCTAAGGTGGGAATGATGTTTAAGTCAAGTGACGAAGTTTATGAATATTATGCAACATATGGGAAGAAAAATGGTTTTGCGGTGTCTAAGAAAAATTGTAAAAAGGGAGGCGATGGGGAGAAAAAATATATAACTCTTGCTTGTACTCGTGCTAGGAAGGCAATAATCAAAACAAGCAATCCAGTTAAATTACGGCCACAAACAAGAACGGGATGCAAAGCTTGCATTAATGCAATTCTACAACCCGATGGAATGTGGCTATTGCGATCCTTAGTACTTGAGCATAACCATAAAATGAGTCCAACCAAATCTCGTTTTTTCAAGCAAAATAGGATACTTGAGCCGCATGTGAAGAGGAGATTTGAATTAAATGATAGAGCGGGGATTAGGATGAACAAAAATTTCACTTCACTTGTGTTGGAAGCTGGAGGGCGTGAGAAGTTGTCATATTTAGAGAAAGATTGTAGGAATCATATAGACAAAGTTCATTGTTTACGACTTGAGGAAGGAGATGCCACTGCAATGTATAATTATTTTGTGAAAATGCAAGGTGATAATTCAGACTTTTTTTATGTCTTGGATTTGGATGGAAATGGTCGATTACAAAATGTATTTTGGGCCGATGCGAGGAGTAGAGCAACATTTAAAGAGTTTGGGGATGTGGTCACATTTGACACAACATACTTGGTAAATAAATATGATATGCCATTTGCCCCATTTGTTGGTGTGAACCATCATGGACAGTCGACATTGTTGGGTTGTGGACTTATTTCACATGAAGACACAGAGACATTTACATGGCTATTTCAGTCTTGGCTTGCATGCATGTCTGGATTCCCTCCCAATACTATTATTACAGATCAAGACAAAGCCATGAAAAAAGCCACACAGATTGTTTTCCCTAATGCGCGTCACCGATGGTGTTTGTGGCATATTATGAAAAAATTGCCTGAACAATTGAGAGGATACAAGGAATATGAAGCAATAAAATTTGGTATTCAGAATGCAGTTTATGATTCATTAACTACAGAAGAATTTGAAGAAAATTGGGGTAAGTTCATTGAGGAGTATCAACTTCATAGCAATGATTGGTTACTTAGGTTGTATGAGGAAAGACATCGATGGGTACCTGCGTTTGTCAAAGACATTTTTTGGACAGGAATGTCAACCACACAGCGTAGTGAAAGCATGCACGCATTCTTTGATGGGTACATTAACTCGAAAACCACTTTGAAACAATTTGTGGAGCAATATGAAAATGCTATGGCAAAGAAGGTTGAAAATGAAAATGGTGAAAAATTCAATTCTCTCAACTCATACATCCCATGCATAACTCAATATCCATTTGAAAAGCAATTTCAAAATGCTTACACAATTGCAAAATTCAAAGAGTTCCAACAGGAGGTTGTAGGAAAGATTTATTGCAATTTGTCTCTGTGTTCAGAAGATCTTAATTTTTCTGTGTATGAAGTAAGTGAAGATGTTCCCTTTGGAGAAAGCCTTAGACTTGCAACTTTCACAGTATATTTGAAAGAGGACAGCTCTGAAACAAATTGTAGTTGTCAGTTGTTTGAGTTTAGGGGAATAGTGTGTAGGCATCAAATTGCAGTGCTCATGAAAAAAAGGATTCATCATATGCCAGACAAGTATATTTTAAGAAGATGGAACAAAAATGTGAAAAGATGTCACACTAAAGTGCATATCAGTTATGATAACTCTTCTATTAAGCCTAAAGCACGTCGCTATGATAAAATGTTCAATGTTTTCAATGAGGTGGCTGATTTGGCAACTAGTTGTGACAATAAGTGTGATAAGGTGGTTGAACAGTTACGTGAACTAAAAGGGGAGTTGAAAGAAGAAGTTGATGTTGTTAGTGGAAGTAACAAGTTTGGTTCTATGAGTACTCAGAATGCTTAAAGCTCATATGGGGATGGTGTCTTAAATTCAAAGGAGAGCACAACCATACTTGATCCAATCGTTGTCCGTCAAAAAGGGAGGCCACCATGTAAAAGGAAACAGTCTATGCTTGAAAAAACTATTAAAAAGAAGTAGAGAGTGAAGACCAAGACAAAGACAAAGACCACTAGCAGTAGCAGCCAAGGAAATATAGAGGTGTGAAAAATATCTCATGCATGAATTTACCATTAACTGATAAGCTATTATTTCGTTAACTTTCAAGTTTTATATTTTGTAGCAATCTGAATTTAGTGCGCCTTCACATATGGGATTTGTTGATCTTGGTACACAAGAGAGTATTAAAATCAATGTAAGAAACTTGTTGGATTTATTGATTTCTTTTATAGCTAGATTTGTTAGTTTATTATTGGATTTATAATTCTATGGGTGCTTGTTATATTGCAAGAATCTGAAATGTTGGCTCCAAGTTTTGGGCAACAAAACATGCTCCAAGGACACTTGTCATCCCAAGTACATAATATTCCATTTTGTATTTTATTAACGTGGCTTAAACAAAAATTTAATATTTATGTCATTTATTTTATTTTATTTTTTTGGTAGGGACATCATCATCCATCTCAATCTTGGATGTTGGGCAATTCAAGTTTCACGAAAATGTTGAATGATATGGCGCTGTCACAATCTGAAAATCCCGAACGAGACAAAGATGAAAGAAGTTGAAGATGTCAACAATGACAATGTTTCTTGGACCTATATTAATTTATTTTTAATTTACCATTGACAATATTTGTATGACTTCTAGGGAAGCCGATGTTGAAGCATTGTCATTTTGTGTAGGCTTATGTTGTCGAGTTGTTGAAGCATTGTCATTTTGGTATAAGCTTATGTTGAAGTATTGTCATTTTGATGTAGTTTTATGTTATTGAACTATTATATATTGGCAATATATAAATTCTTTTTGTTATTCCTTGGATTATATTCTTGGTGAGTTTTCACTAAAAGGAATTCACTTGAATTACTACCCTACAATATTTGTTGTTGATATAACATGGAGGTTCCAGCCAACATTTTCTTCCTTTCCTTTACTTTTCTTTTCTTTTTTCCTTTTCTTTTTATTTTTTATTATTTTATTATTTTCTTCCTTTCCTTTAGGAAGGTTCAGCCAATGACTTCTTCCATCACGTTTCATATTTTTTTATTTTTTTATTCCTTACCAGGTGGGACCCACCTTTTCCTGAAGGTTTTCCTGAAGCCCTTTCCTGAAGCCTAGCATTACTGTTTTAGATATTTTATCCAAAAACGTAACTTTTTCCTATGTTTCCAAAATAGCACTGAGTGAATGGTAGACCATTCCAACCAACTTCAACACCATCTATATGCAATAAAGAAACAGTAATGCTAGGCTTCAGGAAAGGGCTTCAGGAAAACCTTCAGGAAAAGGTGGGTCCCACCTGGTAAGGAAATAAAAAAAGGAAAAAAAATGAAACGTGATGGAAGAAGTCATTGGCTGAACCTTCCTATTATATCAACAACAAATAGGGTGGGTCCCACCCAGGAAAATAAAAAAAATAAAAAATAATAAAATAATAAAAAAATAAAAAATAACCAATCATTGCTATGAAGTTGATACTCCTCAATGAACTTACCCCAATTTTCTTCAAATTCTTCTGTAGTTAATGAATCATAAACTGCATTCTGAATACCAAATTTTATTGCTTCATATTCCTTGTATCCTCTCAATTTTTCAAGCAATTTTTTCATAATATGCCACAAACACCATCGGTGACGCGCATTAGGGAAAACAATCTGTGTGGCTTTTTTCATGGCTTTGTCTTGATCTGTAATAATAGCATTGGGAGGGAATCCAGACATGCATGCAAGCCAAGACTGAAATAGCCATGTAAATGTCTCTGTGTCTTCATGTGAAATGAGTCCACAACCCAACAATGTCGACTGTCCATAATGGTTCACACCAACAAATGGGGCAAATGGCATATCATATTTATTTACCAAGTATGTTGTGTCAAATGTGACCACATCCCCAAACTCTTTAAATGTTGCTCTACTCCTCGCATTGGCCCAAAATACATTTTGTAATCGACCATTTCCATCCAAATCCATGACATAAAAAAAGTCTGAATTATCACCTTGCATTTTCACAAAATAATTATACATTGCAGTGGCATCTCCTTCCTCAAGTCGTAAACGATGAACTTTGTCTATATGATTCCTACAATCTTTCTCTAAATATGACAACTTCTCACGCCCTCCAGCTTCCAACACAAGTGAAGTGAAATTTTTGTTCATCCTAATCCCCACTCTATCATTTAATTCAAGTCTCCTCTTCACATGCGGCTCAAGTATCCTATTTTGCTTGAAAAAACGAGATTTGGTTGGACTCATTTTATGGTTATGCTCAAGTACTAAGGATCGCAATAGCCACATTCCATCGGTTGTAGAATTGCATTAATGCAAGCTTTGCATCCCGTTCATGTTTGTGGCCGTAATTTAACTGGATTGCTTGTTTTGATTATTGCCTTCCCAGCACGAGTATAAGCAAGAGTTATATATTTTTTCACCCCATCGCCTCCCTTTTTACAATTTTTTTTAGACACCGCAAAACCATTGTTCTTCCCATATGTTGCATAATATTCATAAATTTCATCACTTGACTTAAACATCATTCCCACCTTAGGATCCTTAGTTTCAACTTCTACATTTTCAGTTTCGACTTCTACATTTTCAGTTTCCTCCATTTCATTCTCAATATTAATTTCATTAATGCCCTCACTTGAAGAACCACTCCATATTTCTTCATCCATATCTCTACAATATATATATATATATAACAAATTAAAAAGTTCTTCAACAAAAATAAATAAAAAGGCAATAAATAAACAGGAATTAATTTAGTTCTTAAACAAAAATAAATAAACAACCAATAACTAAACTGAGACTATTTAAAAATAATAATTTGTGCCTTGAAATATATACATTGGTGGTATAAGGCATCAAAAATTTTCAAAATTGAACAAAAACCCCCAAAATTTAACCTATGCAATTTCTAGGCTTTCATACATGAAACAAAGTAAATCCACAAAATCTCATTGAAAGATTCAAATTTAGAGATAACAGAAATTAAAACGAAAATTGAGTTATATAACCTATGCAATCCACAACATCTCTTTCATTGAAAGATTCAGAGACAACAAAAATTTTCAAAAGCCCCAAAATTCAAAATTCTAGGGTTTGAAAAAAATAATCCCAAAATCGCACAAAGAAGGTAGGATACAAAATCAAGCTTGGTAAAACAACTACAAACACTCAGATTTTGGTTGCAAATCTTAGCTTCGGTGTTCTTGCAAGAATGGTGGGATTAGAGACTGAAATCGTAGCAAAAATCTGAGAGTGACGGAGAAATCAAACGGAAATCTCAGTAGTTACGGAGATGCCGGCGGCAGTGACCGGCGGCAGCAAGCTTGCGGGTGAGAGCTGAGCGAGAGAGTGGTGAGAGAGTTGAAACGTGAGCTAGAGTGGTGAGAGAGTTGAAACGTGAAAAAGTTGAAACATGAGGCTCAGAACTTTTTTTTATTTCTTAAACTAACAATTTCCTTGCCAGGTGGGACCCACCTTTTCCTAAAGGTTTTCCTGAAGCCTTTTCCTGAAGACTAGCATTATTGATAACGAAAACGCATGTAAGGGGAGGGTTACCTGCTTGCTATTGCGCCACAAATCTTCATAACTACCAGTTCATTCCATCCATATCTGGGGGAGATGTACAATTAACAAAAGGGTTACTCCATAGTTAGACTTTTGAACAGAAAATAAAAAGGAAAAGAAAAGAAGAATCCAAGAATATAAAAGAAATCCTATAGATTAGAATATATATAAACTGGAATATATAATTCAACATGTAGCATATATGAGCATGCTACTCTTATTATAAATATCTCCAATCAAAGAGAAATAGAAAAGGAAAACAAAATTAAAAAAACTTGCAAAAGAAAGTTATTCACCTGGAAGATAAACATTGATGATTCAAGAACATGATCAATTTCTCCAACCCTCAAAAAAAAAAAAAAAAAAAGAAGAAAAGAAAAGAAAAGAAAAGAAGAAGAAGAAGAAGGAGGTGAAAGAATAAAAAAGAAATATCATTGAAAAAAAATGGATGGCATTGTCACATAGTAGATTGAATATGAGGCTCATTCGATTCAAGAGAGCGAGCGAAGAACTTCTTGTTCTGATATATATGTGAAGATGACATTTTAGCATTATACAAAAGAACAATGTCATGATTTTATTATTGTTAATCAATCTCAATGACAATTAAAATGCAATCTATACTAAACTTCTATCACAAAACAATGATAAGAAAGCAAATTCCATAGCTAATTTTTTATTCATGCAATTAGAAGAATATAGAAGTCCTTGTTAAAATAATGCATAGCTAATTTTTGTTCAAGTAATGAAATCTTAAAATCAAATATACTAGAAGCATATCACACTTTATAACCCAGTAAATTCCTAATTCTTCCCTAGGCTTGGAAGATGATGTAAGTTTGTATATTCAATTGTATTCGAATTCAAGAGTTACATCAGTTTAAATAAGAAGAGACTAAACCCTAAAATCTAAAATCTAACTATGGAAATACAACTCATTAGCTAACTATGGAAATATAACTATTAGCCTAAAATATATACAACCATATATGCATACTCTAAAAATAATATTCACACCTCCACTCAAACTCAAGGTGATTTAGCAGAACACAGAGAGTTTGTCAAGTAGAAACTGAAAGCGAGCAGAAGTGTGAGTCTTGGTAAAGAAATCAGCAAGTTGCAGGGCAGAAGGAACAAACAGAAGCGAGATAGACCTAGATTGCAGATGATGACGGACAAAATGACAATCAATCTCAATGTGCTTCGTCCACTCATAAAAGACAATGTTATGGGCAATCTGAATAGCATTGCAGTTGTCACAGTAGAGAGAGGTGGGAGAGGACTGACGGACACCCAAATCAGACAAGAGACAATGAAGCCAGATAATCTCAGCAGTGGCATGGGCCATAGCACGATACTCAGTTTCGGCAGTAGAATGAGTAACAACGGTCTGTTTCTTGAAGAAATCACTAAGAAACATATAGAAACCAGAAGTGGACTTGCAATCATTGACATCACTAGTTCAATCAGAATCAGCATAGGCCACCAGGTCCAAGGAAGAAGTTGACAAAAGCAGTAAGCCCTGAAAAATAGTACCTTCGAGATAACGGAGAATCCGAACCAAAGCAGCCCAATGCGTGGAGCGAGAAGCAAAAACAAACTGACTGACCACATGAACAGCATAAGCAATATCAGGCTGAGTGACAATTAGATAAACTAAACAACCCACAAGCTCGCGATATAAGGTGGAATCAGCCAGAGGGACACAATCGGTAGAGTTGAGCTTCACATTAAGCTCAATAGGTGTATCAGAAACCTTAGTATCAATAAGACTAGCACGGTGAATGACCCCATTAGCATACTTAGCCTGAGACAGAAAATAGCCCTTTGGAGAAGAAACAACCTCAATGCCAAGAAAATACCGCAATGAACCCAGATCCTTCATTTCGAAGGTACGGAAGAGATGTTGTTTGACGTCAGAGATAGCAGAAGAATCAGAGCCAGTAATGATCATATTATTCACATATAGTAAGAGAGCAACAAAACTAGCCGAGGTATGTATCAGAAATAAAGCAGAGTCAGAAGCAAAAGGATGAAACCCAAGCTTGGTAACAGCAGTCTAAAAGCAATCATACCAAGCACGAGGAGATTGCTTCAAACCATACAAAGCACGCCGAAGACGACAAACCTGCTCAGAGGAGTAGGGAAGGCCAAGGGGTGGACGCATGTAGACCTCCTCAGTGAGATGACCATTAAGAAAAGCATTCTTAATGTCCATCTGATAGAGAGGCCAATGTCGAACAGCAGCTACAAAAATCAAGGTACGGACAGTAGTCATCTTGGCAACAGGGGCAAAGGTCTCCTCATAATCAATAACATATTCCTACGAGAAACCCTTAGTAACCAGGCGAGCTTTGTATCACTCGAGAGAACCATCAGAATGAGTCTTGACTTTATAGACCCATTTACAACCAACCAAATTCTTGCTAGTAGGCAATGGAACCAACTCCCAAGTGTGAGTCTTCTGCAAGGCAAACAACTCATCTTCCATAGCTTAAACCTAATGAGGATCCTGACAGGCTTCCTTGTAAGACTGAGGTTCTGAAAAAGAATGAATAGTAGACAAAAAAGTACGATAAGAAGTAGAGAAAACATGTATTAGAACAACCCAACCTGTTTAGAGGACGACGCTCACAAGTAGGATAGCGGTTTACAACAGGATCAGGCTCGTTAGAAGCAGAAGGAGCAACAACCGAAATAGAGACAACTGGAGGTGGGGGAGCCTAGTGACGAAAATAGACCAACAATGGAGGGGAAGAAGAAGTCGAAGGAGGAGAAGGAGCCATGAGTGACGCAGATGAAGAAGTAGGAATGGCCTTAGGAGGAACAGTGAAAATGTACTCATCAGACGGGACCTCAGAAAGAAATGGGTCAATATGAACCAAAGCCTCTTTAGAAACGAGAGCAGTGAGAGAGGGAAGAGGCGTTCGAGAAAGACAACATGACAGGAGACATAAAGGTGCTGAGAGATAGGGTCGTAATAGCGATAGCCTTTCTGAGTAAGACTGTAACCTAAAAAGACACAAAAGACAGACCGGGTACTGAGTTTGGTCCTATCTTTACGGGGAAGGAGAACAAAATAAGTAGACCCAAAGACACGTAGGAGGGAATAATTTGGAGGTTGGAAATACAGAGCCTTATAAGGGGATTGACCGGAGAGTAGGGGAATCGACATGTGATTAAGGAGGAAAGTAGTGGTAAGAACTACCTCACCTTAGAATGGTACCAGAACAAAGGCAGAGAGAAGGAGAGATAGAGCTATCGCAAGGAGATGACGGTGTTTATGCTCAGCACGACCATTTTGGGCAGGGGTATCAGTACAGGAGATTTGGTGAATGGTGCCTAATGTAGCCAAATACTCACAGAATTCAGTTTTAAAGTATTTCCTACCCAAGTTAGACCAGAGTATTTTAATTATAGCCCCAAACTGTGTATTGATCATAGACTGAAAGGTACGATATATCTGGTGAATGTCAGATTTATAAGCCATAAGATATATGCAGGTATAACGGGTACAATCATCAACAAAGGACACATAGTACACAGAACCTTCTTTAGTGAGAACAGGAAAAGGTCCCCAGACATCAGTATGGACAAGAGAAAAAGAAGAAGCAGAAATAAAAGTACTATTATTAAAAGGTAAAGCTATCATTTTAGCAAGTTTACATCCTCGACACTCATTA